TTTGGTTGGAGAGGTGTCGCTATGGCTTGAACTGTCCAAGGGTCGGTATAAAGAGCATTCTCCGCGAGTGGAAGTGTCGCGACTGCGGGGAAAGGTGGTTTGGCCGCGGGTGCAAGTGTCGCGACCGCGGAGAAACATGGGTTGGCCGCTGGTAGCACACACGCGACAGCGGTGCCGAATGTCCTAGGAAAGATGTTCAGATCCTCTTGCTTCAATTAAACTTCAATCTTGCTTCAATTAAGTCTACATCACCTCTGATATGAGCATTGGTTAAAGGTGTGCATAAGATAATACCTTTGTTTGTCAAATTTGTAAATCCGGCGTTTTCTTTGGGTGCTCTTCTTTCTAGAACGTATCCAACATCCTTTGTAGCTCCTCCAGGGTCAAATATTGGATCTTCTATGCTGCCTATGACCAAACAATGAGAGTTCCTTGTAGTAATCACCGGGTATGGGGTTTTCTTGTTGATCTTTAGGAAACTCATATGTTGATGCAGGTAGTTGATGAGTGTTCTAACAGATGCTAGGAACGAAGTACCAAGTATCTAGGGTTTTGTTGCATTGTTTCTCATCTCCATTGCATGGGAACCAGTAGAAACAAGACAACCTTTCCCTTGAAAAGGCAATTCTGGTTTGGAACCAAGTAGAGCTGCACCAGAAAAATCTCCATAGTGAATATAAATCTTAGAGGGATGAAAAATCGAAATACCTATATTCTCTGCAATGACCTTTGGTATGAGATTCACAGCAGGTCCAGTATCACAAAGAGAATCACGAAATTTCACTTCCTTGATTGAGAATGGGGCATCAAACTTCCTGGAATCCTTCGTCTTAGAAAGCGCCTCCAATGGTGGTTTTGATGTCACTATTAGTGTCTCATCTTCCACGTGGTCTGTCTTACAGTCAAGGTGGTGAGGAGCTGAAGGAGAAAAAGGCTTTGGTTCATCAAGAGGAAGGGACTTATGATCTTGTTTGTCGTCTCCAAAACACTTGAATGAATCGGTAGAGACGAGATCGTCACTAGGGATAGAAATAGGTTCTCCTTTTTCTTGATGACTGGCTTCCATGACGTGATGATCCAAAGGAATTTCATTTGATGGCCTCTTTATAACGAACTTGATGGAGGATTCTCCATCTACTTCACAAGATACCCAATACCCGTCATCCATAGATTCATTGAGCTCCTGAAGCATATCATCAATCTCGGTTTGGGAGACAGACGACATATCTTCATCAAAGAGATGATCATGGATAGCTCCGTGGGCATTGTAAGTTGAATAAGGGTTGTGGTCCCAGTAGAATCCTTGTTCCTCTAAACCTTTGCAAATTGGTTTGTTGTGGCTGCGAAGTCCTCTTGTGTGGTAGTTCGGAATTGAATTCTGATCCATTGAGGAGAGTCAAGAATGTATTGTGCTTCTCGGCTTCGAGTGGCTTGAGGAGTGTTGTAAAAACCTCCCTCATAGTAGTAATTTCGTTTTATAGGATCCATATCTTCTGAAATGGAAAAAAAATAACCGAAAAATGGAAATATGCAGAAAAAGGGGTTATAGAGTAGATTTACCAACCTTTCTTAGGGTTTTGCGGGAAAGAAAACGCGTGACTTCCCCGGCAACGGCGCCAAAAACTTGATGCGGTGTGTGTCGAGGGTGTCAAGTTTTACCCTAAATGAAATCAATAGCCGCAAGTGCACAGCTGATCGATTGTAGTACTTAGGGATCGAATCCACATGGAAGGAGGATATTTCCTGCAAAAGCCCTCGAAAGAAATATAAAGTAAGGAAGTCTAGAACAAGACGAGTTTTGTGAGGGTTTTGGTGGTGTGTTTAAAACGTAAATATGAATCCTAAAGAGAAAATACGGGAATTAAAATGATCTAATAACTAAACTTAACGAAAACGGGTAAAAACGAGAAAAACGGCTAGACCTAATTGCTAAGTGAAAATCGATTGAAAGAGTAAAGAAACTAGACTAAAGCTTGAATGAAAATTGGTGTAAATCTATAAGAAAAGAGGTGGTGGGGTTCAGGGAAGTTTTCTCAGGAGTATGAACAATTCAAAACATTGCTAGAGAGTAAATTTGATAAGATCTTAGCTTAAACTTTTCGAACTGCAGTCACGGACGTATGAATACGCCACTGTCGTGATCATAGACAACTATCTCTCTCAACCCTGACCAGTAGGTTTCCACTCTGGCCCTGGAAAAGAAGAGGTGCATTATGTTTAAGACTCGTCAGCATTCACAAATCGCCCATAGGTAGGTTTCCACTCCTATGTTTGTTTTGCTCTCCCAAACTAGATCTGACACCGGATGAATACTTTCGTGTCACCAAGCATCTGGATCAGTTTGTAGTTCATGACCCTACTCTCATGCAGTAAAAACGAATTCAGCAGAAAAAGTTCTAAAATTCGGCTCAATAGCCAATAGAATCCTCACCAAACATATATAACCCTATCGAAAATCCCTTAGACCCAACAATAAAACTACTCAGACATAATAAACGAAATCAAAAACATAGTATTAAAAAGTAGAATAGAAACCGAAATTGAAAAAGAAAGAACAAGGGTTCAAGAGACAGATATCTCTCTCCCTAAAACCTAAAACTTAAAAAGTATTCTAAAACAATAAGAACATATGAGGTCATACGAATTAGGGTTCCTAAAACATGTATTTATAGTGCTCAAGACATCTCTAGGGTCTAGGGTTCCGGAATCAAGGCTAGGAAAATGATATGGGCTTCAGAAATGGGCCTTTGGGTTCGGAATTAGCTGGCCGCGGTCGCGGTGGTTGTGACCGCGGGGAATGGTCTGTTGGCCGCGGGTGGAAACGCTTGCCGGCTGGTTTACGGGACATCTTGCTCTTCGCGTATCTTTTGATTGAACCGTTGGATTGCCAAGCTGTAAAGTGTGCTGGAAAGCTGATACTTCCATCTTTAAGATCTCCAAATTTGAGCTGGATCAGACGGTGAGAAGGCCTTCAATCGGGAGTGAACTTCTGACGGTTTGACTCTGAGCTTAAATCTGGTTTTCTATCCATTTTGTTAAGCTTTTCCCAAAGTTACCTGAAAAGAGTCTTGGAACTACAAATACTAGAAAAACGTAATAAAAGTACTTAAAAGCAATTAAAAACATAGAAAAAGTATTTCAAAACGATCCATAAAAGTTGTCAAAATACGGTGTTATCAATATGACGTAAAGGTTCTTTTAAAGTGTCCTTCTCAAATAATAATAACAGATGTCACGCTCACGCTCACGTTGAGAGATCCAACTTTTTAACAATGACACATGTCACGCTACGCGTGGGTAGTTTTTTAATACTAGCATATTAATAAAAATTATAATTAAACATTTATATTTACTTAGATCTTAATTTGTTGTAATATATTAAAATAATTTAGTTTTAATCACACAATTTATATATAGATTTTGAGGTTTCAACTTTCAACGATCTTGTTTAAATCTATATATGTGCCACTTTAAAAACATACTATTTTGTCGAATGCTTAATATTTTGTATACAAAAACTAACTTAAAATGTAACAAACTAATTAAATAGTACTTAATTAGTATTAACATGAAGATAAAGTACTATATATCACTTATTAGTCAAGAAAATATTTTTTTTTCATCAATTGCATCCTTGTTATATATGCTTTTTATGAAAAAATAATTAAGTTAAAAATTATTCTGTTTCCTTAACTAGTTTAGTCGATACAAATTGTTGATTTGTTCTAAATTAAAAGAAAACTAATAAACACAACTTTTGCTTTTATATATTTTAAACTATGACAGTAAATAAATATAAAAAAATTTGAAATTAAATAAAAAGTAAAATATGAAATTAATTTTAAATCATAAAGATCGATGAATTTAATATAAATTTTTGTCAAATTTATCTTAGACTGGTAAATACCAAGCTTTTGTCGAGTAACATAATATGTGTAATAACTTCTAAATGATTTTTTATTGACAACCAAGAAAAAAAAAAATTCCTTATTTACTGTTTTAATGAATACAAATTTTACTTGATAGCTTTTAATTACCCTTTAATAAACTATTAAATTAATTTTTTGATATATACTAAAATATCTTTCATAAACTTATTATCACCTTTAAATTATGTTTGCTCTGAGAGATGAGCAAAAGGTAAACAACGAAGATATTAATCCTAGCAAGAAAAGAAATCTGTAACAAAACTTAAAAGAAAAAAAGGTTATTCCGAGAAGGAGAAGGCACGACCAGTAACGAAATCCCAGAAGGAAAAGAGTCCGGACTTAGCATGAAGGAGTCCAAACAGAGTCGGAACTTATTATCCGAAAAACGGAAGAGAAAATCCGATAAATAGAAAATAAATCCGATCAAAATCGGAAACTATAAAACCAAAAACCGAAAACTCCGGTAAAGATTCTGATGACCGGAATTCACCTCTCTCTCTAAAAGATACGTGAGAGAGAAGAGAGAGAGAGTCCTTTCTATTGAAATAATCACCTTTACATTATGTTTAACCACCATTTATCTTCATATATTAATATATGTGTTTCTTTTTATGTTATAGTAAATATTATTTTAATTTTTTTATGATTTCAACTCGTAAAAATATTTTTAAATTCTTCTAATGCATGTAGGTTAGTTTACTAAAAAAATAACTAAAACTATTACCAAACAATCAATTACTATTTAATAAAAATAGTATTGACAAGAAAAAAGTAGTATATGTTTTTTTTTCTAATGAAAGAAAATAAGATTTTTTTCATCATCTTCAATTTTATTCTTTTAATATCAGTTTTATAAAAAAACCGAAAAATAGTGTTAAAATTTACTTTTTTCCTTAATTGATTGCATATTATTTTATATTTAAGTAAATTGGTATTTTGTTTAAGAAATGTTTTTTTTTTTGAATAGAATGTTAATTTATTCAAATAAAAAAAACATCATTTTTACAACGTGTGCAGCAATGAACAGAAATTGTTTGTTCTAGAAAGATAAAAAACAGATTCTAAAGCATTTTATCTGGTTGAGAACCACTTCTCCATTCCTCCCTCATATCGAGCATCACCCAGTACTCGAATAGATGTGAGTCTATTTCGAATCTGCTTATCAACACTCTGTATAATCTGCTTGTCCGAGTTAGCTTGCTCGCCATGTCTTCTGTTATTCCTCTCCCTCCATATTGTGTATAGAGTAGTCTGGAAAACATATCGGATTAACCACTGCATAATGAACTCCCGCTGAGCGTGATGAAGTTGATCAATGATCTCGTCCCAGTTGTTTGTGTAGTGAGGGGCCATAAGTTTCCGAGTTAGACTGCTCCATACCTTCTCCGTGAAAACGCATTCAAAGAAAAGGTGGTTTCGAGTCTCCATTTGCGCTTTACAGAAAACACATGAATCTGTCCAAATTCCCTTCGCCCAATCGCAGGTGGGGTGCGCTGTCCTGATAAGGGAGAGCGTGTCTTTGGAGCTAAATCGCTGGCTGAATCTGTCATTACGGCGCCTCCACAGAAACACGTCGTCACCACTCAAAATACCCTTTTGCTTCTGCACATGAATCACCTCCTCAATAGCATTGAGGATATCCACTCTGTGTCGTCTTCGACAGTGAGCTTGCAAGGCCATATAGCTACAGTGTAAGAAATGTTTTTAATTAATATTATTTTTGTTTTTTGTTGTTAATGGAAATTTTATACATAATTTCCTTATTTATATATATATATATATATATTATTAATAATAATATTAATTTTTGAAAACTTTCTTAATTTTGAATATTGATGTGGACCAATAAAATTGTCATTTTTAATCCTCTGTGGACATATTTAGAGTCATTTAGCTTCAACATTGATTAGTAATAGGATTACACCATACAAAGCCATGAATGATTCCATTTCTTTCAAAAACCAAAAAAAAAAAAAAAACTACCTTTCCAATTTCTTGAAACACCAAAAAAAATCAAAGTCTTAATCTAGTTAAAGCTTATTCAAGACAAGAAAATTGCTTATATTTCTTTAAAACATTCAATTTTGAAATTTTAAAAATCAGAGTTTTTACTACAAAAAACAAAAGAGGCTTTGATTACAAAGATGTAAAAAAAAATATGTTGATTACAAAGAGGTAAAAAAAATTGAAAGATAGATTATTTGAAAAAGACATTTTTCAGATTCATCGACAAACTTTTAGAATCACAAACAACACATTGTTGATTTATCACTAAGGGAAAACTTCAATAAAAATGAAATTTCCACTAAGATTCGTCCAATAAAAATGAACTCTGAATTAGAAAAACATCATGGAAAAAAAAATTGATATTTCATACAAAGGTCCAATTTCAATATCAAGATCACCTTAGTCTTGTGCTGTTTTTTTTTTTTTTTAATAAAAATTCTGATAGAGAGAGGCACTCTTAGGTTAGTAATGAAATCACATACCTTTAAACACTGCTTTAAAGTTGTTTATGAATCCACTACCATTAAAAATATTTACTTCAAAGACTTTCATCAGGATTTTGGCGAATTCAAACCTCTGAAACTGATGATTCTAAAACAGCATTTACCAGTGGAGTATAATGCAAAAAAAAAAACACTTTCAGAATTACAAAGAATCATGAAAGATATTATATTCTGAATATTCGAAATTTTGAATGTCTGCATTGATGGTATTTTAATATTTTCAAATTCTTCTGATAAACATTTTCAAAATTTAAGGAATTTTTTTTTATGTTGCCAAGAAAATGGTTTTGTCGTTTCAAAGACGTAGATGTCCTTATTAATTCTCAAATTAAAATTAGATTTTTTAGGCCATTACATATCGCAAAATATAATAATACCCATAAAAATCAAATAAATTTGGAGATAAAATTTTGGATAAAACCTAATTACAAAGGTTCCTTGAATGTCTTAACTACGTATAAGATTTATATCCTAACCTTAATACAGAAATAATTTGTGTGCATATAGCGGATCAAGATTTAGAAAACATCATAGAAACAGATGCAACAGATATATGATATGGTGGTGTCCTCAAGCAAAGAACATTGGTAGTTGGGAGAGTGTAGTCGAGTTTACATCTCTATATTATTATTTGAGTAGACATTTTTAAAAATGAACTTGAATGTGTAAATTATTACATGAAATGCCATTACAAATAACAAAAATAACTAAAATAGGAAAGGATATAATTGTGTTTCAAATCTATTTAAAACAATATGGAAAGTTTTTGTTTCTCATATATTTGAGTATATTTACGTTTCTAAATTTAAAAATATGACAATTTCTTATGTTATTGATTTCAAATGAATAATGTAAAAAGTCAAGATTAAAATTATGATATTGAAAAATGGTGAAATATTTTATAAGTATAATTTGCTATGTTACTTGATTATAGACAAAAATTATTTTTACCAAAAAATTGACACGATTTTTTTTTTTTGGAGTGTGAATCATTAAAGAATATATATTAAAATTATTTTTTTAAGTTATATTATAATAAAATACAAATAAGTTCAATAGACGGATTACTTCGATATGAAAAGATTATGATTCTAATTTTTTAATATCCAAAAATAAATCTTGCAATTCTAAATATTATTTTTTAAAATAGGTGGTATATATTCAATCTACTAAATATTATAATTTATTTTTGTATTTTTATTTTTTATATATCAAACCTAAGTTTTACAAAAATTATACTATTTTAAAGAAGATAAATTTAATTTTTATAGTTTGCGAACAGACTACAAAACTCAATTATTAATAAACAGTTTATTTTGATTTATTTATACTATTTATTATTATTATTTAAAAATATGATAAAATTCATCAGTCAACAATAAATTAAATTTCTATTTGATGAATGTAAAATTTTTGCGTGATATAACTATAGGCATATTTATATATAAAAATAAAATTTATGAACTAAAATTTGAAATTAATTATTAAAATATTATTTAAGATATTATAATCTCTCGTATATATTACGCGGATTAATTTCTAGTCTTTGTATTAGAATAGTACCCAAAGAAACTACTCTAAGATAAATTTTAAGTATAAAACTATGTATGCGAAAATTACAAAGTGATTTTTGAACTGAAAAATTCTCTTAAGTATTGATTGCAAAATTGCTTATGACGTTTTACAAAAAGATGAAAAATGAAGAATGAGAGCTGGGAGATTACAACTAAACACACACTTCTTTATATAGGAGTTTTTCAAAAATATACATGATAAAAAAATAATAAAACAGAATATAATGGTAAAATATGTATTAATATACTCACAAAAGATGGTCTCCACTTCACAAAAGATTGTCTCCAGATGTAGCATATAACCACATATAGTCAACTATACATCTCAGATAACCAACTACACATATAACACATCTAATACGTTGATCACTTCGTATCTTTTGGATTTGCAGTTCCTGCAGTTTGTACAAGTTCGTGGTTTTATTGTCCCTTTTCTTTGATATTGCTTGTGGTCTGAGTTGTGACCAAACTTTTGTTAACAAATGCCTCTGTTCTGTTCTTTAAAAATGGTGTACGTCAGGGAGTTTTCTTCTTAGTTTGTAAATATTCTGATCTCACTATTACATGTTTTGGTTATGTTTTCTCCGTGATATCTTACTTTGGAACTTAATTTTTGGTCCATCTTCTCTTGTTTTGAAGTTCAAAGTTTGAAGATTGGTTATGTTTTTCATCAAACACTTTGAATCAAAGTTTGTCTTTTGGGTAAGCAACTAAACAATGTGATATTTTTGGAATCATATAAAACATATTTTAGTTTTTTAGGTACACTAATTTGTGTTTTTGGGTTTAAATCGACCCAAAAATTTTCGTTCCTTTTCAATATTCTTTATAAATCTCAAAACTAATCTAAACCAGATAAGACCTTTGACTCAAACCGTTCTAAACAAAATTTTGGTCCAATATGGGTCCAATACATGCCTACTTGAAAGAACTGAAATCTGAGAAACCCGAACCAAACCAAATCACATATCCGAATGTCCAGTGTTAGTACTATAAATATGACCCCTGTTTGAAAAATTGGTCGATTTGCCAAATAATACGATGGGTGATAACTAAGAGTTTTAGGCTCTTAAGGAGGTTATCAATCCCCTTAATCAGTTGTAGAATAAGAGGTAATCAATCCAACAATGTGGTTTAGACACTTATCTATGAGATAGTTTCTTAATTCAAGCAATATGAGTGATTTGGTTGGTAACAAGTGCTTAAACTGAAAACTACACTAGGCAATGACAAGTGATTAAAGTAAATTAAAGCAAGCAATAACAATAAACAGATGATGATGATATGAATGTGATGAGGGAAAGGCCTTAGACAAGATAGATGGTTAGGGACTTAGGGTGTTTTAATGCTAAACTAGAGAGCTAACTGAACAAACAATCAAGCAAAACCATTTAACATAGACTCTTAAGCAAGATAATCCTCTCATGAAGGCATTAAACTTCTATGCTAATCCTCTTTCATACCAAATTTCCATTTGAGAAGCATGAATTAACAAGCATTAAGAACCAGTCTAATAAGTCATTTAAGCATTAGACAATCACTCTCATGATGAAAAACACTTAAAACTCTTACAAGCTTGGTTCAGGCATTTCGACAAACACCTTTTGGGTGAGGAAATGCCCAAGATCTAGACCAGAGTGATGTGCAAAGATCTAGCTTTGAGAACAGCTTTTTAGAGAATGGATGATGCAAGATCTAACCCCTAAACTCTCTAATCTAACATCTTAGCACCCTAACCTACTTATCTAAGACCTTAAGATGGATCTACTCACTAATCATAGTTAACACACTTGATCTTTTGCAAGGAGTGATGTAAAGCACGATTAGAAGCTTTGAATGATATGGAGAAATTATTTGATGCAAAGAAACACCCTTAAAATCGATTAAGAAATGAGAGATATCTCTTAGAACCAAGGTATTTACACTAAAAAGGCAAAGGAAAACGAAAATGGCATAAAACATTATTAGGGTTTTTGCCAAAATCCTATTTATAATTTTTAAAAGTGAACCGGGTCAGCCCGGAACAAACCGGGTACTGAACAGGTCTTACTGGGTCTTTGGGTCAGACCCTCGGCTTGAAAAGTCTTGTGCCGAGGTCTTTATGGCGCGGGTGCCTTGCATCTGGATTGAAAGTGGAAGAACACCCTTGAATCTTGCATGGATCCTTGTCTTTGATCTTCTCGTGAAAAGTTTTTGATTTGAGAAGTGTTTATGAGCTGAACTCTGCATGAGAATGCCTCGGTATAAGCTATCCCAAGGTCTTTATTCGAGGTTTGGCCAAGTTCATTCGCAAGCACCCTCGGCTTGATCATGTACCAAGGGTCTTGAGCCAATGTGTTTTACACTTATTCAAATTCAGGCTCTTAAACCTCCTTCCATGCTTTGCCTTGGTACAAATTTAAGTGAGGTAAATGACCGAGGCTTGACCAAAATATTTCATAAACATAGCCTCGGTATAGCCATACCATGGTATTTTGGTCGAGGGTCTTTCCCAACACTTAGCAGAATTTCTTGACTTTGAAGATCACAGCCTTGATACTTAGTCGTTTCAGAAGAAGCTTGTGATGATAAAATGCCTCGGCTTGGGCTATGGCGA